TACAAAAAAAATATTATAATCACTTAATTTATTAAAGGTAAAAAAACAAAACTGAAATTTATTAGATAATTATTAATTAAAAAATGTGATTACAAATTAAAAAATTAAAATGGATAAATTTATCAATAAAATTAAAAAATTCTAATCTGCTAGCGGTTTGGTACAAAAAGCTATATAAACTAATTTTTTCAATCCGCTAGTGATTTGAACCCTAACCGCTATTCGCTAGTCTCAAACCGTTAAATAAAAATTTTACCAAATACTTTAGTTGTAATGGTTTCAAAATATATAAATTTACCAAACACCTATATTTAACGGTTTAGATAAAATCGCTAATCGCTACCCAAAACTGCTATACCAAACGGAACCTAAGTAAGAGCGAAGAGAGAATTATTAAAAGGAAAAGTAAGGGGAGAAAAACATTTTATCCAAAAACTTCTATTCAAACTTACTTAAAAGGTGTGTCTGGTGAGACCGTGAGAGTCACAGAAAATTTTTATTATTAAAGTGGTTAAAAAAAATAATATACAAAAGATAAGTTTTGTATTAAAATTTTATTAGGTCATTAATTTTATTGTTATGCTTAGTAAAAAATTAATATAAACAAGATTAGTAGGAATGAGAGTTATTAAATGGATTTAATATATAAAAAAATTAAAATGAAACTTTTTTCTGTTAAAATATGTAAACAAATTTTAAAAAAATGAATACTTAAAATAACACTTTTATTTTTTTATTATAATATTAAAAAATATTAATACCTGAAAATAAGTATACAATGAGAAAGGTTTGAAAAGTATAAGGGGAAGTTGCTTTACAATCAAACCCCCCCGTAAGTTTTTAAACGGACTTTGATTCCCAGGGAAAGACTTCTAATTCTCATTCCAAGTAAAGCATCCAAACCTGAGATTTCGATGCCAAGTAGCCCTTCGCACGTCAACACGAAAAATCTGAAGTCTGAATGTAATTACAACCGCAAGCAAAGCAAAGCGAAGCCATTGGCATAGCTCACTCCGTCTCTCCCCCTCTCTCCGGCATTGGACTCCGACAATCCTAGCATGGAGGACAGCGGCGGTAGCTTACCCAAGCCAGTGGCAGTGTTGGTCTGTATCTCCATGACACTGCTTTATGTCGCAATCCTCTATGTTCCAACTTTAGTTCTCCGCCTCCCACCTCCGTCGTCCTACAAGGTTCTCATGATCCGACGGTTTATCTGCGCCGCCGTATCCGCCATCGTGTCTGTCGTCTTCTGTGCTTTTATCCTTCCGGTACGAATACGCTCTTCTTCCTTCCTCATTCATTTGACATTTTCACTTCACATAATTGGTTCTGGATGATAACATTGGATGATATTCTTATTAAAGCGGATAATTACTCCTATCTAGTTGCTACAATTGCAGGAGATTTTAGCTTTTCGATTCTTAATGATCAAATTTAGCACTAGTTAGTGTCTTTTAGTATCCAAAGTCCAGGGCTTTTTTATTTAATTTCTGTTTTTCTGATTGATTAGCAGCTGACTGTAGTTCGTCCTTTCCTTGTGCTAGACAAGAATCAGGAAGGCATCTTCTTTGCTGGGTGTTTATGGCATTCGAATGGACCACATTGTAAGTAATGCGATCTTTGTTTCCTCAATTATATCCAGAAACTGGGTAGGAGCTAACGTTTTGTGCATTGTAATTTTCTCTTCTTTTTTTTCTTTTTTTTCTTTTTTTTTTTTGTATGAACTGCAGATTGGGAAATTATGACTCATTGTTAATATGCATTGCATTTCTGCAGTGGCAAGCAGTTGTTTTTCCTCTTCTTCTCACATCTCTTATGTATACTGGATCGTTGGTCTTGAAAACTCTTTTAGTGGCCAAAAAATGGAAAGAGAATACAAGTCGAGGTCATGGACCTTTGTTTGATAGTATCAAAACCATCCTGCGAGAGTTCCCATGCCGGATGTTGTCAGCTGCTTCAAATGTTTCGTTTTGGCGTACTTTTGTCGTGGTTAGTATGTTTACCATTTCTATTCTTAATCATTTAGGTAAATGCAAACAATTCTGAATTTGTCATAGGTTGATTAAGCTACAGTTAATATGGTTATCTTTATGTCTTTATCCTACATAAGCTGAAAAGCAAGCTAATGCCAATATGATTTGGGTTTCCTGGTACAAACTTTCTCATAATACATGAATTAAGTGGTTGACATTTCAATATTGGAAATCATTTTAGAGGTGCTTAACTGCTTTTGGGTTTGGTGAAAAGCATAATGGAATGCTTATTGTTTGCCTATATTTCTGTTAGATAAGGAGAAGGTTGCCTTCCTTATTTCTAGAAACATTTTTACTGCAGGGTTCTTAGGTTCTGAGTTTAGCTCACTATTGAGTGTCCTACAACCAGCCTTCTTTATTTTTTAAAATGAAGTTAACACATGAGTAAGAATCCAATTAATTTCATACTCATTCAGTTTATGATGTTGCTATAACCGAACAGGCACCGCTAACAGAGGAGCTGGTGTTTAGGGCATGTATGATACCTTTACTTCTCTGTGGAGGATTTAATGTGTATGCTGCCATTTTTCTGAGCCCCATTTTCTTCAGTTTGGGTAAGTTAATACTTTCTAAAGCATTCTTACTTTGCAGTTTAATCATTAATGTAAGGAGATATTAGAATTTCTTAATATTATATCCATTTATGGCAACCATTGATCTAATGCAAGAAGGATATGGTGTTCATGACTTATGTACTTATACTTGCAGTTAATTGTTAAACTGATTCAATTCTTTATATGATTTTTTAAATCTGGCTACAATTAGCAAACTGTTAAGTCTTAAAGGAAAATATACAAACATACCATTACTCATTTCTGAAGGATTTGTGATTTCTATTTCAAGGACTTTTATATAATAGAAGTGTCAAAATTCCCTGTTGAAAGTGGTTGAAGATATTCGGTTTGGACTTTTATAAACCAACTTTCAACTTTCTTATTTACCATATTGCAATTTAAGTTGAATTTGGTGGTAAACGGTCTTTAATCTGCTTGCCAATCTTTTTTCAGCTCATTTGAACCACACGATGGAGATCTGCAGTCACTATAACTATAGCTTGCTCAAAGCTTCCATGATTATAGGTACATTTGTGATATGTGTTTTATTGTTTGAATAAATAGATGCAGTTCCTGTTATTTACTTATTTAGATGCCCCAAACAAAAGAAAAAATAGGTTGATTATGAAATTCTTCTTCTTATGGCAAATTTTTATGAGCTTGAAAAACTTCAGACCAAAAATGATGTCCTATGTTTACAGATGTATGTCTCATTGTTTATGGACATGTCTGTTTTTCAGGTCACAAGCTTGGTTACACTCTGGTTTTTGGTTCATATGCTTCATTCCTCTTCATTCGAACAGGTAATTGATTACTTGTTAATAATTCTATGTTTCTACTGCCATTTATTCTCCAGTCCTTTTCCTTGTCACTCAGCTTCTTATAAATAGATGTATGATCTGATCAATGCATAGGATTGTGTTTCGTAAATCTTTATGTAATGTTTTAACTGATAACTTGTTTTTGTTGTTGTCATGATGCAATTGACACAAGTTATTGCTCAATTGGTAAGATTTGGAATTTTGATGGTTGGCTACTCGTGTGTAAGGAATGTATAATAAAACAGAATATGCAATAATTTTGGTAGAAGGATTCATGCACACAATTTTTAGGACATGAATAGAACAACAAAACACATCATATTTAATTTGATAAACCTAGCATTTGTCTGGAAATGGATGGAGAAGAGAGCCCTATATATTTGTTGCATCCTTCTGATATTTACTTTCTACAAACACAAATAAAAAAGTAGTAAAAAATAGTAAGTAAATTCTTCCTAGGTCATAGATTTTATGGTTTTTCTCTCTTTATGTTGTATATCTCTGCTTCAATGATTTATGCTATAATTCTTAACAGGACATCTTGTTTCTCCTTTAGCCGCTCATATATTTTGCAATTACATGGGATTGCCTGTCATATTTGTGCAGAGCAAAGGTATGTGACAAATGAGAAGACAGATTACTGAATGCAATGAATCCATGTTCATATTCATTACTTGAAGAGTTATGCCATGTCAAGCCATTTAAAAGTTCACTATTACGCTGTCATTACCATTACAAGTGGTTATGAATGTTGTGGATACTAGTCTTCTCTCTCAATTAATAGAAACTTTAGAGGGCTTTATTTTAACAACATAAGCAAATCAATTAGATTGTCAAATATCTTTTAGTGATGTCTAGTGGCTAGAATGGGTACACTCGGTCAAAATAAGCTGGTTTCTACTTTTTTCTTTCTCTTGCCTGTTTTCTAACTCAATGACCTGTATCTTCACAAATATCAGTTGCTCGTCATAATTGTTATCAAAGCCTAAATACATTGAAGATGAATTATGTGATAGGGTAGTCCCATAGTCACTAGTCAGCAAAAGGGTTTACTTCCAGGAAAGGGGTTTAAACATTGACTTTGAATGCAATGAAGATTTGTTTTTAATAGGATAAATGGTTGAGAAACAAACTTAGAGATCTGGATGTTAAAGGGTATCAATTAGCCTAACTGCTAAACTCTTCCAAAATACAAGCTGCTGGATTGAGAAGCTAGACTAGCCACTGTTTATACAGTTATTGTCATATTCTGGTCTTTTTCATTAGACTTTGTTGACATATTTCAAATCTTTGCCATCATAATAAAAGTTCAGATTATCTACATAACTGGTCCTTTAATTTTTCATTTGCAATCTTCAGGCTTCAAACTATTGGATTAATGACATATATGATACAAGGTCTTCAGATTTTCAACAATAGGCCATAGCTCTGAGATGTGCTCTTCATATTGTTTGCCTTATTCATGATTCTCAGACATTTATTACACGTTTTTTCACCATCACATTTAACACATTCCATCTTTAGACAATCATACATATTCACTTGATTCATTTATATTTTATTCTCTCTTGGAGAGTTTCCCATGTTCAAACCTCACCTTTTATCTTCATCATTGTTTTAGGGCTAGTGACTCCGGCCTTTGTAGCTGGAACAGCGGCCTTTGTGCTGCTTCTTTTTCCAATGACACAACCTGATTTGTACAATGACAGAACAGATAACTGCAGATGTTGGCATGGATATTGTTCATGGAGTTAAAAGTTGCGAGGATGAATATCTCTGTTGTTAAATTAAATAGATAGTGTATCATTAGCATAACAAGAATAAATCATGGGTGTCTATTGTTTCTTTATGCCTCGTTCTGTCTTTAGACATTCTTGATGTTAAGACATTTCATTGACATACCAGTGATTACTAAGAATCCAGTTTGTATTTAATTCTGAGGATATTTCACTTTCCTACATTGCTCCCATTTTTCTTATTGCGCCCATTGTCTACTGCAGCTCTAGTTCACGCTTATCTCTATATTAAAAACCAGTTCGTTTATAATAAATAACTAAAACTAGGGTCTTCATCAACAAAGTCGTTGTAGTATAGTGGTAAGTATTCCCGCCTGTCACGCGGGTGACCCGGGTTCGATCCCCGGCAACGGCGCTTTTTTACTTCCGCTCTTTTGCCCCTTTTCTTTTAGCTCTTGAATTAATGGATTATTAATTTTTAGAGCTTCTTCTCGCGTTGCAGAATTGCACTGGAATTTCAAACGAAGGAGAATACTGTTTTTCCTACACTTTCTATTTTGTATTTGTCATTCTATGTCGTACAAATAGCAATAAATTAGAATTGAGAAAGGTGCTTTTCAATATGAATTGCATTTTTTTATTTTTTGGCATTTCAAGTATTAAAATTATAAAAATATTATTAATGAATAATTTAATAAAGTGAAAACGTTATTGCAGTATAACGGTTAAGAGTTTTTATGTTAAATTTAATAGATATAAAGTTTAAATCTTATCTCTAACATTAAAAATAAATAACATAGTAAAGTAATTTTATTTAAGTTGTTTAAGTAATTTTAATTTTTGAATTGTACAACAAAAAATACAATTCATATCTAAAAATACTTTTGTTTGTTAGTATTACTCCATATTTATTGTTCTTTTTATTTTTATTTTTTTTTAATGTTGAGTAATTAGATTATTCTGCCTTTGCCTCTCAATTTCAAAAATCCCGCTGCTTTTCTTGGTACATTGAAGATTACCTGATTGACATTGTACCTAAGTACAAATTTGACCAAGTTATAATTGATTAAATTCCTTAATTTAGAACCAAAAAAAAAAAAAAATGTTGGATGTCTACTGTTTTCCTAGAAACCACACGTTCAACAGTTACTATAACAACTTGTAATAAATCTTATATACTACTCACAATCTCATGGTTTAGTTGGATTTTACGGCCTTAATAAAAGAGTCAATTTTAAGTGCCGCTAATGAATGGAGCAAATTTCCAAATCTCAATTCTCATGTACTGCCTCTCTTAGTATTGCACAGCTGTAAAATGGTGCAAGCCCATTATTAGTTACAACTTTTCCTCTTGGCAATGATTGAGATACATGAGCCCATCCAAGAGATGGACCAAATATGAACTGTTGTTACTGGTCTGTTCTGTAATCTGTATAGCTTAATCAGGGGACCTCCTGAACTAACTTTAGAAAGACAATGTAATGTTATGAACAATACAAAGAAGACTAAATCTCACCCTTTGCCCGATTCAAGTCATGGGTTTTAATTAATTTTCTAATACATGTTGATGGGATTGCATTCTACTTGAAAAATGCCCTAATGGTAATGCTTCAATAGTACTATATAGAGGGGGAAGAATCATGAGGTAAGAGACTAATATTTTCTGAGGGGTATAGCTATGAAGTCTAAAACTAGACACTGGATCCAGGTAATCCCCAATCCAAGGACTAATTCGTCGTCTTCCTCAAGTTTCTTTCTAGTTTTAATGTTGGACGAGTAGTTGTGATTCCTTGGGTGCATTGGAACTAAATAAGTGTTGTCAGCCAACCCTGTTCTGGGTCTCCTATGGAGATTCTAGTCATCATATCTTAGTCCTCCTTTGGCTTCCAACTTGATTTTCTGAGCTGGGAACAGGAGTTTGAATTTGATGGCCTGGATAGGTTCGTGAAGTGTAGAGGTCCAAATGCGGGGTTTCATAGATGTATTTGAGTTTGATAAGACATTCTTTTATGTTTATCTGACTCAGTTTGCTTGGTGGTCAACTGGCATATTGCCATGGGGGGGGAGTTAATGTCATTTCCCTGAGTTGATGTTGTGGGTTACCACTTATTTCGAGTTCAATAAACCCTCATTGACTTTCTCTCCTAAATCTTTCATGACATTACCTTTGATTAGATCCCCCCATCAACAAATCTAAATGAAAAGCCATTTTCCTTGATGTTTTCTTCTTGAAGTTCCTATCTGAAAGAATACTCTTAAAAATTAGGAGTTTAGGCTAACATGTTCTTTTCTGTGTGTACATTGTGTATTTTTGAAATGGCATTTGTTTATGAATTCAATATCTTAAACTTCAATCATTATATAATTTCTGCCATTTTCATTCTTTTACATATTAACTCCATTCTTTTACATTTTAAGTCATCTCCATCTACTGCCACTGCTGATGAAGTGTCTGGATTCTTAAGCGAGAGATTATTATTCTGCAGTACAAATTGCAGAACAACTAGGGGGAGAATTTCAGTATCAGGAGAGTTAGTTCTATTCAATAATTTTATTTATACAATAGTTTTAATTATGTAACAGTTTATAATTTGATTTATACAATGATTTGAATTATGTAAAAATTTTAATTTTACAATTTAATATAATTTAAATTATACAAAAAACTTTATGTAAGAGAAATACCATTGTGAAATTCTCTGCTATACTACATTTTCAAACATGTGATATTTTATTGCCAAGAGATGATCTAGTTCTTACGCTATGTTTTGTGCTGATCGATAGTAGGTATTGCTACATTTGTGGGGTTATAATCCATTCTAGAGAGAGATAAGAGAAAGACTAGAACTGTAAATAATACTATTATATTCCTTTCTAGCAGACAGCTTGATACAACTTTACTGTTGAGAAATCCACAATTTGACACCCTCCCCACAAAAGAGATATAAAGAAAGATGAAAATAGAAATGACCCTTGTAGAAACATATTACTACTGTCCTATTTAACTAAAGCCAGAACTAGAACTATTACTACTACTACACTTTTGACAATTGCTTTTACACAAAAAAGGGACAGGGTAGTGTTTGTGGGGTCATGAGATGCCTATCCTGGGTGGATCAGGGTTTGCCAGAATTGGGAGGGTTTGGGTTAGAGCTGGAGCTAAGGTCAGTACTGCTTTGTTGGTTTGCCTTTGGGTTGCCCTTGGAGAGTTTCTGTTTCAGCTCAGATAGCAGGGCTTGATTCTCCTGGTTGAGAAGCTGAGCTTTCTTCCTCAGCTTCTCATTCTCCTTCATTATGTAACAGTTCTGCAGGTACAGCTTTGAGTTCAGCCTTTCCATGACTTCCAAAAAATAACTTTGAAGTGTCCCTGAAACCAAAATAAAAATAAATAAATAAATAAATAAAAAAGAAAATTAAAATTAGTGTCAAGTAACAGTCTCTGATATATAATATAATTCTTTATTGCCACAGAAATCTTTGCACAACACATGAGACAGTAATGTTATACTATTTTTAAATCCATATGGTAAAATGATAATCTAAGGATCTAGAAGCTAGCACATGGTAAAAAAAAAAAAAAAATACCCCATCTATTATGAAAAAAATAAAAATTAACGTTTAGAAATGTTATGTACCAAAAGAAAGAATTACTATTACCAAGACTGAAGATGAAAAAAGAGAGTAGAGGTATAAAACAAGGAAAGAATGTTGAGTAATCTAGCTTTCCCCCCCTGCTTTGGGACAGAGGAGAAACAGAGCAAGTGGATGCCTTGAAATTTTAGGACACCATGGTGTTTAAATAGACCTTGTGAAATAAAGAAGACATTGATTTGAACAAGAGCTGTCTAAATCTTTAGTGTTAGGGAAAAAAAAAAAGAAAAAAAGATCAAAACAAAACAAAATAACAAAAAATCAACATTCCCTTTCGGCTGTCCAAACGTGAAATTAAGGAACAAAGTCATGTAAAGATAAACTGAAAATTTGAACTTGTTTGTGAATATATTTGTAGGGGCAACATGTGCAAATGTTGGACAGTATAGAAACAACACCAGCTGGGTTTGTAGTACAAAAGAATGGACCGAAAGTTGTGAAAACAGAAGGCAACAAAAGAGAGAGATGGCAGCTTTAGAGCCTGAGAAAAAGACATAGGGAACTCTTGAAATGCAATAAATAGAGAAGCATTGTCTAAGATATAAAAAGCACAAATAAAAAACAAAATTCCCTTAGTACATTCAAAACAAGATACCCTTCTTGTGCATGAAAATATGTTCTTCTTTGTGAAAGAGAGGAGGAGGAAGAAGAAGAAGAAGAAGAAGAAGAAGAATATCGACATAGAGAGAGATAAGTGGGGGCCTCTCTTCTCTTTATCTTTTCAAGAAAGATCACCTTTTGAAGGTGGTTGTTGCGTAGAGAACTTTGGCCGTGGAAACCGAGCTATGCTGGTTTTGAACTACTAGTAGAAGTAGAAGCAGTTCAAAATGAGAGAGTGCAAGTGAGGGGTGGACAAAGGGAACGAAGGGGTAGCTGTTAATATAGAGAGCTAAAGCAAGAGAGAGAGAGAGAGAGAGAGAAGGAAGAAGGAGAAAAGGCTTACCTTATGAGTGTGAGGACGAAGAGAGGGGGACATGCCTCTCTCCTCTGACACAACAATCATGCATGTGTAAGCATGGAAGGCGGCCGGTTAAGGGTGAGGATTTAATGTTTTGGTATTGCATATGATGATGGGTTGAAGAAAGGATAAATGACGTCATGTGAATGATGATGGGAAAGGGTAGATTTTTTGAATATTTTATTTTATTTTTAAGTTAAAAGTATGGTTGCTGCTCACCGACCTAATTATGTTTTATTGTAAAATAGAAATTAAATAAAAAATAATTTTTACACTTGAATTTTTTATCCAGTGGTATCAGAGCACTTATAAAGTAAGTGTATTTTCTTTTTTTTTTTGGTAATAATTGGATTTCTATTTCTTGTAAATTTGTTTTAAAAAAATAAAAAATAAAAAATAATTTTTAATATTAAAAAATTTATTTTATTATTTAAATTGAAAAAGTATAATAAAAGATTACAACACGGATGGAATCTTTTTCTTCTCTTATTAGGAATAAAAATTATCACCCCAATTAGAGAAGATACACCAAGTCTTCGATTTTTTGAGTCCAATTTTAAGAGGCAATTTGGCCACAAGATTTTTGACCTTATGGTTATTAGAGGGACAATAATGGTTTGTTTGGCTAGGCATGTAAAATGATGGAGGGCTAGGCCGTCCCAAGATTCGCAATGATGGTTTGGATTGGTTCTCATCACACCTTCTTCTTCCCTTCCCTTCCACCCAGCCATCATCAATTCCTCTTTTGTTTTACCTATCCCTCCTCACATTTTCGGACCCTTTTTATTATCTCTTTCTTAATTTCACCTCTTGGTTTAGTAACTGCTAGTAATAATCATTTTTTTTGCTTTGCTGGAGTGCTTTTTTTTTTTTTTTTAATTATTTTGAAATGGCCGTTTTTTTTTAACCAATTAGTATGTTTGCTTAAGAAGGTCATATCAAAATTAGGTCCATTTATAGGGGCAGTTTTGGAATTATGTTTAATTGAGTTTTTTCCATAAAGATTCAGCTTATTATTTGAAAAAAAAATGTAGTATAATTTAAATTATACTAAATTATATTATATTAACTATTGAATAAAAGTTGTGTTTTTTGATATTGAGAGTTATTTTCATTTAATAATCTTTATTTTACAGTTTGATACAGTTTAAATTATAAAACAAGATTTCCTTTTCAAATCAAATGATTTAGTGATTTTGATTTTTAATTTTGAATTTTTTTTTATAAAAACTTATCAGTTACATGATGAAAAGAATTTAGAGATGTAAATTTTGTATGGTTTGTAATATAATTTGGTACTTAATTTATATTATACATGCGTAATATATTAATTGGTCAATATGTGTTTGATATACTCTATACTTCTCAGGAAAATAGATATTTTATATTTAAAATTCATCTCAAATTAATTATATTTTTATATTTTAAAAAGAATAATTTTTTTTTCTGTTTTTAACCTTAGAAATAAAAATTGTGGGTTGTGGATGACCAAACGGGTAACATGAGGGGGCGACAGGCAGGTGATGATTTGGATGGGCAAAAGGGTAAAATCGTCAAACTATTTTATCTAGCCCCCTCGTGGAGCTTGCCTCAATTTTTAATTAATATTGTGTAGCTTAGCCTTTTGGGCCGATTCCACGGGAGGTACGATTTTGCCCTTACCTATTAAGTCTCTGAAACTCATTTCTTCATTTTGCCCTTACCTAAATTAATAACCATTGACCCTCATTATAGTTTAAAATGATGTATTTTTAACCTTCTCAATTAATTATAAAAATGTACACTTCCAAGATGTTCGGTGCATGCCTTTTTTTTAAAAAAGAATGCGAAAAAGTCGTATCATAATTATATCTGAAAGATAATATCGTACGATATAAAAGAATTTAACAAATTATATACATTGGATTCTTCATTTAAAAAAAAGTTAGGATGACTTTTTATGTAAACATAATCAATTTTATCCTCCATTGATTTTTATTAGTTTTAATTTGATTTTTTAATTTTTAAGATATAAATTTTAAATAAAAATTTAATAATTTATATAAATAATAATTAAAATTTTTTATTAAATAAAAATACTTAACAAGAAATATATATTAAGATAAAAAATTTTAATTATTATTTATATAAATTATTAAATTTTTATTTAAAATTTATATCTTAAAAATAAAAAAAATCAAATTAAATATATTATAATATATATATATATATATATATATATATATCCAAACATGATTGGTTATATCCAAGGACAGAGCTACAAAATTTAGTTAGAGAGGAAGAAAATTACTATTAAAAATTTGAGTTTTCGTAAGTATCTTTTATGAGACTATTTCATTTTTTGTATATCTTCATTTTTTATAAAAGGATTCACTTGTGACCTTTTTTATTGATATATTCTTAATAAAAATTAGAAATAAATGTATATATTATAATAAAATATAAAATATTATAGTAATAAATCATATAATGATGAATTGAAGAATAAATTAAAAAGGAAAAATGTGTTTGTTAATAAAATCTCTAAAAACTTAAAATGAAAAACACCACAAAATTATATTGTTTTAATAAATTTTCTTTGAAAAAGATAAAACAACATATTCTTAAAAGTAAAAATGAGAGTGTTTTGATTTTAGTAAAATAATGTAATTTTGGGTATTTTCCTCTTAATTTTTTAGAGATTATGTTGATAAACACTAATATTATAAAAAAAATACTAGAATATTAAAAAATACTAAAATATTTCCTTTAAAAAGTAAGCTCTAATTTTGATTGATTTAACACAAAAAAATGATTATAAATTCAATTATGAAAGGTAAACATATACCTCAATGCCATAAAAAAATTATAAATTATTATATAGACTATTAAGAAAGAAAATAAAAAATTACTAAAGAAGACTATAAGTTTAAAATTAATTAAATAAAGAATCAAAAAATTTTTTTTGAGGCTTAATAGATAAGGAAAGGTTTAAGAACTCCAATTCTTAATTAATTAAATTGTCATAAAGTTCATTTTATTTAAAATCATATCCTTATTTTTTGAAAACTTTTTATTTCAGCCATAAATATTCTCTCTACCTTTGCAATAATCCTTAAAATTCATACTATAACACAAAATTTTTAACAAATAAAAGTTAAAGTACCATATTAAATATTTTTAAAAAATTAGGGGGGGCAGGTGCCCCCTTGTCCTTCATTGGCTCCATCCCTGGTTATATCTACACTAATGATTATACTCATTTTGCTAACCAACAATTATAAGCATGCGTTAATTTCTGGCGTCTGAATTTCAAATTTCTTGGGCCAAACTGTTTGTCTATAGCTCTGTATTTTGCCTCACTAGGTAATTCTATTTTTAATTTGGGTATAGGTGTAACTTGGTTGCATGTGCTTCGAGATGGATGTTGAATGAATCGGCCCAAAAAAATTCATATTTTTTTGGCACAATGTGCTAAAAGGTGCTCTCTGCTAAGACAAACTGCGACTCGGTACTTAAATTTAATTTTTTTTATGGCTGCTTGCCAGTGCCATTATGTCAAAACCCTGCTTTCAACTAAAATCCTTTTTCAATAAATTTTTAGAGATCTGGGAATATCATTCATTTTACAGTCCTCTATCTCTATGCGTATTTAATGATTCGAATTTGAGATCAAATTTTAAGTTTTCATCAGTTAAAATCCTCTTTAACAAATACTGCTTTGAAATTTTTGGGTTTTAGAGTAAAACCCCAAAAAAAAAAAAAAAAAAAAAAAAAGGTAAAAGGCACAAGGAAATGAAGCTTGTTAAAATAGAACTCCCTTGTCTCAAAATATATGTCATTTCATTTTTTTTTTTTTAACGTTTTGTAATGGGTTAAGAATTTTTAAATAATCAATGTTTTTGCATGCTATACCCTTAAAAAAATGATGGAGATGAAGTAAAGATTTGTTTACAAGGTAAAGAATTAAACTTGAGCAAATAACAATAGTGTTGAAGTGAAAAAATATTTTTTTTTTTTGGTCAACAGAAAAAAAAAAAAAATTTTTGTTCACCTTATAATTTTAAAAATGACAATTAATTTAAGATAGAATTCTAATTAAAAAAAAAAAACAAATAATATGAGATGGAAGAGTATGCTGCTTGAGAATATGTAGATTTATATGTTAATCCCTTCATATGCAAAGTCAATGTATGCAAGTTGTATCCCAGTTCTAGCTGGACCATTAGCAGCAGCCCTAGTGCCTAAAACTTTTGCTTTAATTTTATTCCTTTTTTTTTTTTTTTGGGATAAATAAAACTCCAGTTCATGTGCAAAAGAGAGTAATTGAAGAGGCGAGTATTTCTTCAAACCATGATTTAGTCAACAAAAGCCGTAGGGAGACAAAAGAGACAGAAACTGCACAAAGTTCCGACTGTGAGTAGTAAATTGGCTTAGGTGTGTGTATTAGTGAATTGAAGCTGCTATGCTTTTAAATCTTTCTGAAACTACCAATGATGACAAACCCCAATAATAATTGTCCTCCCCACCCTCCTTTTTTTAATTCTCAAAACGAGAAATTTTATTGTGTCACGATATTATCTTAAAATCTCAATTTTACGTTAGAAGCAACTAATTGAGAAAATAAGAAAATAAAATTTCATCTACATTTGCATTTCATATTAAGGTGTCACTCGATCAGCATTGATGCACCCTAACATGGGATTCTAAAATGTTATTTTTTATTGGTTGGAAAAACTACGTAAGATGTATTTGAATGTGGTCATGACTACGAAATAATGTGTTAAGGTTACATAAATTATATTGAGTTTTTTTGGGTTGGTTAATATTTTATTGATTTATAATTATTTTTCTTAAATTGAATATGATGTCTAGTTGATTTTAATTTATTAAATAATAAATGAATTTATCTAAAGACACATGTTAATGATGTAATTAATATATTTTTTTAATATTAATTAATATAAAAAATAACAAAAACTCACATTAATTTTATTATCAATACTATATGTATTATTTTAATTGGATAATTGATTAAATAAATGTTAAATTTTATTTTTTTTAATAATAATTAATATTAAAAAAATATTCTTAACTTATGTTGTAAGGCACATGTTAAAAGAATCCATAATAAATATCAATTATTATTATTATTTTTTTGAACGAGTTTACATTTAAGGTAGGAAAATTTGAACCCCAATTCTTAAATTGAAAGATGCACTTTACAATTCAATTATAGTCATTGGACCACAAGTCCCAGATATAAATATCAATTATTTTTAATAGTTAATTCTGACAAAATTTGTATTTTTACGAATATTATAAACAAATTATTGTAATCTTAACATATTATTATGGGCCATAACTACACCCCGGTACATTCCCCTTCCTTCTTAAATAAAACCTTGCTTTTTCGAGGAAATTTTAAGTCTTCCTTATGGAAAAAAGCAAAAAAGAAAAAATGGGTTCATGATTTCAAAGGGAGATGAGTAATTAGCAGACCCTGTTTTCATAAATGTGTATGGCAGTGCTCAAGAGATTTGCATGGTCACAGGCATTCATGAATCATCATCATCATCATCTTTTTTTCAATTTTTCTTCCATTTACTCTTCCACATTTACCTTAAATACAATTAAGTACCAACTGGATTTACCCAAAACAAAAAGGGTGAAAGTAAAAGAGAGATGATTGCATCACCCATGAGGGAGGAGTTTGTTTGATGGTATCCACGTGAAAGCATTGAAGACCTTTGTTTTATTTTATGATAATGGATGAATCTTGGTGATCTTATTGGTGGGAATTATGCTATAGATGACCTGCAGGTGAGGCTATATCATCAGTATTTTGCAGGGAGGGAGTTTCTACTTTGGTGTGAGGTCATGGTTAATCATGGCACATAATGCCAATCTCCTGCATGGCTAATGATGAAAAGATTTTGCATTATAATGCTTAGCAAAGTGCATTCAAACCCTACACGTGAGCTTAGGGCTTTTGATAATGGTAACTTTAGAGAGTGGAGATTTTAAGGACCACTAGTCCTAAAAAGGCCATTCTTTAAATCCTTTAGTTCACAGAAGTAGAACTTTGATTTGGAAAAGAGATGTTCTTGAAGAATTCGCATGTTAATTAAACTAATCCTTAAATATCACCTAAGTTGAACTAATAATTAAGAACTTGAATTTTCATGTTGCGAGTCAAGTTTGAACCTAAGATGGGTGAGTAGAGTTTAGGAAAGAAGAGAATTATACCTAATTATATAATATATCATTTTAAAAAAAAAAATCTATACATTCTAAAGTAAGGATTGTGATTGTGCCACAGTGGTCTGTTCATGCTCCCTTTCTATTTCTTTAAGTGGAAGTTGGAGTCCCCACAAAATCAAGTCCAAAAGAATCAACTGCCGGAACATTAACACATTTAATTACTTAGGAAAGAAGATTCTGCTCTGTTCTCTCTTGCTTTCCAGATCATGTAGAAATTTATTTGCTTCACAGGACACAGGTTGCAAGGACAGAGCATTACCAACAAGCAGACAGCTTGATCCCTACATCTAACCTATGAACATGCAGTCTAGGGTAGAAATGCATCTCAAATTTGAATCTTGATTTATTTGATACAGATTCAATATCAAGCACATGATCAACGTCAGAGTATCATGAGTCCCTAGTTCAATTTGATTGCTAAACATTAACTCATTAAGGTGTCATCAATAGCCAAAAACATTTACTTGAAACAAAATGGCACTGATAATACTTAACCATAATAACTGTAGGACCAGTCTACTAATTACAGCTTTATTACCAGTCAATTGTATAAAGGACCGCCATTTATTCAGTCATTTGTGAAAATCTCTAAGTTCACATCAGCGATAAAGAAACAAGAAAAGCAGCACATTTGACTTTAACAAACATCGTTATGAATGCAAAGGATTAGTGCTCAGATTTAGGGGGCATGGTAACTATGTTTTTGATTACCCACAGCAGAATTATTACAAGCTACTAATGATGGTTACATTCCATAGGAAACAGAACAAAGTTGACGAATTCACCTAACAACAAAGGGATTCTCATTTGGCTTGTGGGTGGCCTGTGACATAGTCAATTAGATGAGCTGTGGTTGCAATTTTCTGGGCATCATTGTCAGGAATGTCAAGTGCAAATTCTTCTTCTGCGGCCATAATTACTTCCACGCTATCAAGCATATCAAGTTGCAAGTCTTTCTTAAAATCGGCAGTTGCACTCACCTGCAGGGCAGTGAAATTCTAAAGCTTTTTCCTCCGGAGAGAGAATGCATATTGATAAGAACAATATAAAACAAACAAGGAGAATGCAAATATGTAATTGCTGAAACAAGAAAATTCTCACACCACATCACCAGTTCACCGTAAATAAAATATTGCCACAGATTTTGTTGGATAATCAATATCCATATTTCAATACCTGGCAACCTTTCCCCTTCTGTTAAATAATTTTCTTCTAGTAACTGGAAAAACAAAAGGAAGTAGTTTGCTGTTTATAATTTCACATTTTAATATGCAACCCTTAAAAGAGCAAGCAATAGTTTTTGTTGGGCATGATGAAAGAAATCTCCTTAATGTAATGATAGAAAGTCTTTAAATAACCTCAAACAAAAAAAGAATATATCTCACACTGTGCAAGATTACAACTGCAAGTTTATAAACAATATAACAAAATCTGCACATTCAAAACCTTACAAGATACTCAAGAGAGAATCTTTTGTAGGTAGATTAAAAACACCATGGAAGGTTTGCCTGAAAGCCAAGAATGGAGGAAGCTATTGGTGAAATCTTGGGGGGGTGAACAGTTAAGCATCACATAGCAAGAATATACATTTTTTGGCCAACCAACATTAGTGTAGGAATTTGTTCAGTTAAAAATGTGGAGTGTGGGAAAGCTTTATTTTTTCAGACTTGTGTGACAGATGGACTCATGTTCTCTGCAATTGTCATTCAACAATTAGGGCATCCACTTGACCGTCCATAAGAGTGGGACTTATTTGGAGGCTCACTTATAAGGATAAAAAGGTAACACTGACACAAGGACTCAGAGCACAAGGTCATTCATAAGGATAAAGAAGTAAAAAGGTATCCCAGTTGGCTCGTAACTCATGACAACCAGCAACAGCCATAGTAATCGGTACGTATATTCAGAAAGCCCTCATGAAAATATAAGGAGCATAGAGAGAGGTGACACTTCTATGATTAACTCTTCATTCCACATTGGCATGGACAAAAACCCAGCATCACAAATGGGAAGGATGAATGAAAACAATTTAGTAACTAGTATATTTTCTTCATTCCAGTGTTTTTTTGCAGCATCACAATTGTACATATGGCAACTTAGAAACATCGGGTGCTACATAGTTCTCGTATAGAATATAGTTAATATTACGAAATGGAACATGACATATTTTGTGCACATCACTAAATTAGGCCTGAGAAGCAACAATGGAACTCTGAAAACTGACTTTAGCCAAACAAATAGAATAATTCTCAGACATTTTTGTTCTCATCCATGCTATAAAAGTTAGAATCCCAGCCCCCACTTATAAATTTTGAGCAGCATACCACACTTAAGGTACAACAAAGCAATTCTAGTTTCCCCACTATGGGTTGATTTACCGAAAATTTATACAAGTAACCAGAATGAGTGAAAGCAGGCTCTCTGTCCTTAGAATGCATTTGGTGTGCAACTTCCAAATTTCTTACTGCTTCAAGATGGGGTATGGACTCAATTCTAAAATACAGTTCTTGTACCTAAGGGCACATTTCATTGACAGTAATAAAGAACATTTTTTGTTACCCCAAACCAAGGCCCTCTATGGTTTCTATGGAAGGTAAAATAGGAGCAAACTCATCCCAACTTCTGAGATATTACAGCTTAAAATCTTGATGCCTTTAGGTAGAAATGAAGAAAACAGTTTTAGCCTCTGAGTCTTATACCTGTGACTTTAAAACTCCAGCACGTCAGAGCCAACTTTAAATTCATTTCTAAATCAAATTGCAAGAATTCTCCCTTCCCTACGGATTCTTCAAAACTTTTCAACAACTACTCTCCAACTTTTAACTTAAACAATAGCTTAAATACTTAAAATTATCAAACAGATGATCGAGAACAGACTTCCTTTCGATTCGATTCAAGAATTGGAAAAGGATTAAGCATGTTAGATGATTCTAACGAGGAAATGGAACACAGATGAAAAGCCACGAATACCTTGGAAGGATCAATAAAAGGGATGGATCTGAGAAGATCAAGAACTCGAGTAGTAACTTCATGTTTCTCCAAGGAATTTGGGGAATACGCAGGAGCTGTCTGGGAGTAAACCCTAGCTCCACCTATAATGCCAACTTTTGCCGACGCAGAGATCGAAGATGACGAAACTACATTCAAGAAGCTGCCGGACGACGACGACCGGAGAGCTCGAATTCCAGATCGAATCGCCTGCATTTTGTTGTGTCTCCGTCTCCCTCTCCTCCGTGGTCTCTGCTCAGTGGAAATTCGGTTGTTTGTTACAGTTCGTTTTTCCCTTTCGGCGTAAAACGAAACACTTCGTTCGAAACTTTGAAGTGCCAAACGGGCCATGTCACAGTCCAGATTAGGTCCAATCTGTAGGTTTTGTCTTGTCTGATATTTAGCCCAAGTCCAATGAGAGAAATGATCATCAAAGCCCATGTAGTTATTTTCATGGAATAGTTTCACGAAAACTTGTTTGACTTGTGATCTTTATCTTGTCAAGATGGTGAAAGTTTTTCGCCTAAAGAATATGATAGATAATCTATTAAAAATTTGGGTATAATTTAGCTTTTTTGGAATAATTTTGCATTTTTCTCATGCATGCTAGATCAACTCCATTCTTTCTATTGTACTACTACTAAGTATTAGGAACAATTTTAAGGTTGAATTTACTAATAAATAAATATTGTTTTAAAAATTAAATTTAAGATTCAAGTCTTAAAAATTAATACCTCAAGAAATTAATTTTATCATATATAGTAGGTCCATTTAAGGATATATCCTTAAAATTACTTAAGAAAAATTATTCTCGAGATGCATGGAAGTTGATCTATAACTATAAATACCCGCAGAAAGAAAAAAGAAAACTAAGTACTAGGAATAACTCTGCATTACTAATTATTTTGAAGTCAATGAGTGAAACATGTAACCTAACAATATTAAATAAATAAATAAGTCTATTCATTCAAATCAGGAATTCTTTTTTCACTTAAATTAATTCACATACAAATTAAAAAAAAATGATTTAGCAGTAATTTTTATATTTAATTTTTTAAAAAACTTTATAAATTATTTAATAATTATTTTTCTTTCATTTATGAATACCAATAATATTATATACAAGATGTAAAAATTATAAAAAAATAAATTCTACGTGCATCATTCTCCAATAGATAAAAACTTAACAATAGATTTTTTTTTCCTTTCCTTTATTTATTAATGAGAGACAACATGGGATGGATCTACATTTCACACTTTACAAGCAGGGTCCGAGGAGAGGCTTTTCAACCAGACAGAGTCCGAAACAACTGCCTCATCATCCTGGTTCCTGTGCCATGTAAACAGCGCATGCGTTGCATTCACCACTTCGAACTCCCCATGCCCGAAGCTTGCCTCTCTAAAAACTGAAATCTCAGGTTTTGGATCAATGTAGCTGCACATATGTAGCAATAGTAAAAACAGTAAAAACCTAGCTAATACCAGAAATACAATCAAAACAATTTAAAATTTCTTCGAAAAATTAACTTACTCCTTCGCCAGCCCCTCCCTGTTGCCTCCGTCCCCCACCGTTATGTGGACCGCCCCACACTTATCTTCCGTTCCATTGTAAACACGACTCTACCATATTAGATTTTATAAAATTAGAAGTTTGAAATTTCTTAATTAATTTAACCTCAACTGTTAACAAGTACAAATGCAGCTAAGCTCTCGTTGGTGTTTTAGCACATAAATATTTGATTAACTTGCATAAGAATTTGTTTGAATTGGTTCATTTTTCTTGCCTTTTTTAAAATGTTATGCTTAATTAATTAAAATTTTGAATTTCACTAAAAATGAAGTAAAGAAATAAGGTGAGAGGAAGCCTACAAAGCGTTCATAAGCATGAACATGTCCAGCAAAAACGACATCGACCCGAGCCTGGTAAAGCAACCCTTCCATGTATTTCTTCATATCGACCGACTCGGTCTCCCCTTGATGGGCAGTGTTGGAATTGTACCATGGCGCGTGAATGTTCACCACCACCCACGGAGTCCTCTGCCGGTCAACCTTAGCCAGGTCACCCCGCAGCCACTTGTACTGATCGGAATTTGGATCGAAATCCGTGTATGACCCCAACATGACGACATGGACACCGACAACTTCGAAGGAGTAGTACAGGTTGGAAGTGGAGCCGCTTTCCTCAAACGGCATTCGCCAACGTGCGTTGTAGGCGGTGAAGGGCGTGCTGTGGATGAACCGAATTGTCTCAATCTCGTGGTTGCCTTCCGTTGACATCCAGGGCCGTTGGCTGGCCAGTGGCTCTATCAAGCGACCGAATGAGTCCCAAAGAGGTTGCACAGTGTCAGCATAGGATACGTCCCCGGGCAGCAGCATAATGTCGTAGTTTGATTGTGCTATGTGTTGGAGAGTCGAATTTGTCCATCCTGTTTGTCCCACATCCCCTGAAAATTCGTTCATGTGTTTTTTAATGTTAGCATCAATAATGTATGCGGTATGAATCTCGACTTTTTGTTGGGTGGAGTGGTGAACACAAATATATGCATGTATACACATTGACAGGAGAGGAGCCCGAATGCAGAGTCCTCAATCAACAGGTTTTTTTTTTTTTTTTTAGTCCAACACAATATACAATAAAGTTTTAATGAAGACAAAAGTCATAATTATGCTTAAATTTAGACTCCTATTTTTCAGTAATTTTTCAAGATTTAGTGGGAGCACAAGGAAGCCCCATTATTGTACCAAAGTTGAATAATGAAAATGAGATAGTTTTAATTTTGAAAATTGTGATTTGGCTTACCTGCAATTGCGAATTTGATTGGGAACAGAGGTGGTGGGGTTTTGAAGCTGAATTCATGGGTGTAATCATAGCTACAACGATAGTAGTATATGGTGTTTGGTTTCAATGGACCAATGACTACATGGTGAATTTTTCCGGACGTGTAAAGCACGTAACTATATGAGGTCGTAGCTCCGGTTGCAGAAAACTTGCTTTCTCCCGGAGAAGTACCGTATTCTACTATTGCAGTAGCATCGCTTTTAGTTATCCAAGATATCCTCATTTTGTCCGGACCAACCAGAGAAATGTGCACCTACTCGACCAAGGAATTTTCAATTAATAATAGTAAAAATAATATTATCATAAAGAGAATATAGGTTTTTTATTTTTTATTTTTTATTTTTTGGGTTTGGACTAAAAAAATGCCTGGCTGCAGAAAACCATAGTCTTAGGATGTGAGAAAAGAAGTAAAAGAACTACGGTACTGTATCTTAAGAGTTGAATGTTGCTGTCCTAAATTGACTTTTCTTGCTAGTTTAAACTAAAAAGGGAATTTTTTTTTAATATTAGGAAATTTAGGGAATAAGGGATATTTTTTCATATCGGAGGTTGAAATTTTAATTAATTAAATTTAAACATTTAATTTAAAATTTTAGGATGAATTACTAAATTTGAAAGTTTGATTTAAAAAAAAAAAGTTATTAGTAATGAGGAATTTATTGAACTAACAATAAAAATATTAAATTTTAAATACAAGTAACAAAATAAATAAGTATAGTACGTTATACGAATAAAGATTTCTTTTCATATTACAAATTAAAAAAAAAAAAAACACTAAATAACCCTAGACTTCTAGTGGTAACAGGAAGTCCATTTTGCCGTATATGGGAAGCTCATAAAAATAAAGACACCCGTGAATGTGAAGTTGACGAGTGATGAACTGTGTTTGGAAATCAAAATCAATACGGGTCATTTTATCATAAAACAAATTTCGCTTACCATTCCTGGCATGTTGTGTTAAATTATCTCTAAGATTCTAAAGCTCAATTATGTAAACTCTTGCCAACCAATTTGACTTAATGAGGTTTGGTTGTCTACCTTGCAAAGGTCTCTAAGTTCATCAAGTCCAAATTGGAAACTTTAAATTCGAAGTTAAAGACAAATTACATTAATGAAAGAAGAAACTGAAAAATAAAAGAGCTATAAAGCCTGTCCACTCATTACATGTAGAAAAGCAAAAAAGTAACTAGTTAAAAATTCAACATAAAAAAGTCTCTTAATTTTTATAGATTTAATATCATATAATATTACAAATTTATAATTATAATATAATATTTAATTAATATAATATAAAATAAATAAATATATATAATATAAAAAATATAATTTTATAAATAAAAAAATTAATTATATAATTACACATCATATTATAAATTTATAATATCATATAATATTACAATTATTTTATTTTTACTTGGAATGTTTATTGGGGCAAGTCCAACTAGCTGGATAGATTAGAGAACTGCAAAGGAATAATTAGATTCTTCATTTATCCCCAAAAAATATTAGTAGTATTACATTGTATAACACCACTCACAAATAAAAAAAAAAAAAGTAAACAAAACATGTCGGCGTCATTGAAATTTGACTTTTCTATTTAATTTGATAAATTAAATTGTTTTTGATTTTTCGTTCAAAACAATACCGGGACCACCAACGCATGCAACTGATGGTACTAATGTATTAAAAATGGTCATTTTCATTTTGATGGAAAGTGTTTGGGACTTTAAGGGTTAGGCGAA